GATTTAGGGGAGTCAAAAGGGCAAACTTGGAAAGTGTTTTTTTTGAAATTGTAAGCTTAAAAACACGATAAAACTTCGAAAAAAATCACTGCTGACATAAAATTTACTGCTGAATCCAATGGTAATATCGAAAAATTACTTATTTAATCAGAAAGGGTAGTCCTTGCAAGGGTAAGGGGTCGATTTATGATTAACTTTTTAGGGGTTGATTTTTTTACAACATGGGTCTATTTTTTTTTTCCATAAAAAGGTACTCTTATTGCAAGTCGCTTAAAGCAATGGTTTTCGAGAAAATTGAAGGCAAACATTTTACTGAACCCGTATTTGAAAAACAAGTAGGTATGTATTTATTTTTTGATGGGTTGCTCACATGTTAATCAACATAAATTTATGAAAATTATGGCGTGGTTATTTCAATTTAGAATTACCAAATCGCCCTGTTAAACAAGAGAAGCGCCGAAATTATTTTAAATAATAAAAGAGTGAGAAATTAAAGTGAAAAATATGTTATTACTATTATGGAACGTACCGTATTTTTTTATCATATTAGTCTGACTCTTTTATTTAAAGTAAATGTTCAATGTGGCCACCATTCATTTCAATACAGACACCTGCTCTTCTCCTCCAGGATATGCGTACCCTATCGAAAATCCTTGACGTTGTACGAACAGGCCCATGACACTCCCTGGGCGGGAAAAAGACACGCAGCTTTTACTGCGCTGACGTTTTCGGGATATAACCTATCACTTGTCATAAATCCGGTTAAAAACTCGCTACCATGCGCAGGCAATCCATATTTCGTACACAAATACAAACTTTTGTTTACATTTTATCGAAGTAGTTTTTCTAATACATTCACAGCTTAAAAACGGAAAATTTGTTGTTTTGATAGTGAATTTAGATCAAAAATACCCCAAATACACTTTAGTGTGTGTTTTATCCTTATTGTTACGTATTATTGCTCGTTTTATTTGAGGACATTGGAATAAATAGAGTACTAGAAGTAATCAAGCTAAAAAGATGTCTTATAAGAAGAAAATACATTGCATTCAACCGATTTATGTTTAATATGTTTTCGTAAAGTATTTCCAACATACTAGTTCCTTGAATGGTTGTAAATTGTAAGTGTATAAGTGATAGAAACTGATCTAGTGCTTTGTGCTTCATTTTTTTTTGTGTTGGTGTCCCAGCCCAGCATTCCTAGCCAGCAGTAGTAGCAAAAACATTAACATTGTCTACATTCAACCCGTTTACATGTACATGATTTATCAGCTAAAAGCAGAATACAATAGTTCTCTGCAAAATGTAAACAACGCTACAAGGAAAATTGCTCATGTATAAATTCAACAATTAAATCAAAATATATTATTTTTAAAGGACTTATATCAACTATTATGTTAATTATAAATATTATAATATAAATATTTGTAACAAAATAATAGTTGTGTATTAATAAATCTGTTACTACTTCAAAAAATATATTGTTTATTGATTATCAGGTATCAAAAATAATATGTTTCTTATTATAGTTGTAAATAAAAACAACACTTTTTATCCGTCCATTTAACACTTACAAACATGCATATTTTAAGATGTAAGGATCTGTAGCCTCTTAATTTTTTATATTAGACACAAGACCTGTGATGTCACATTAAATCATGAATATGAGATAAAGGATTTAGGAGTTGTCTTTCAGTCTAATTTGAAGTTTAATAACCATTTCTTACACATAACTAAAAAAACAATAAAAGCTTTGGGTTTTTAAATCAGAAATACAAAAAAAAAATAGAATTACCACCAAAATCAGATTATATAATGCCTTACTAAGACCCCATCACAGATGTGGATGCCCTTGAAAGCCACACATATTGATCATATTGAAAAAGTACAAAAAATATTTTTACCCTACCTTTTTATGCCATAAAAAATACTTGTACCTTTATAAGATCTCATATAAAACTATGCTCGATAGTTTTAAGATTATATCTCTTTTACAAAGAAGAAAGCAACAGGCTGTGATATATTTTGTACTCTATTTTAAATAATGTTAAGTACAAAGATTGTGATTTGATTGACTATATAAATTTTAATGTGGCAAAGATTAATCTAAGAATCCCAAGTAACAAAAAATTATTTAGTTTAGATCCAAGTAGTATATATTTCCTTTTAACAAGATAATGGCTGTTACCAATGAGATTTTTAGCGAGGTCCAAATAGATATCTTTAATGTTAGCCTAAGAAAGTTGAGGACTGTACTAAATTAAGTTCACTAGATATAAAGGTTTGTTTTGTTTTTAAAGTTCTTGTTACTTAACTCTACATGTAACTACTATTAATTTTTTATAGTATCCAATAAATAAATTATACCTTATGGCTGCTTTCAAACAATTCTGTGTGTAGTCACTCAGTTTAAAGTAAATTTTAAATTAATGAGTTTAATATGAATGTCAAATAGTGATATGTATAGTGTCTATGAATTTGCTGTGTGTAGTAAATGGCCAATAAACATAACTTTGATATTTTTATTACAAGTGTAAAAACTACTACTACTACTACTATTTTTAAATAAATTCATAATAAAAAGTAACGATTTTAGTCTGCCATACTTGAACTCATTCACTAAAACAAGTCACTGAGCATATATTTGTAAAAAAACTGCACTAAATATGTCTCCATTATAAATTTTTATATTTAAAACTACATACTTTCCTATAGATTTTGCAGTAAGTACCTAAATAACGTATAGAATAAATTTTTACAACATAGAAAAGTTTTAGATTAGATTAATTCTTAAGAAATAAAGCAAAATTTCTATTTTGTTACTCTAACCTTGTGTGTTATATATTTTCCTTGACAAGCTAACGTTATATTTTGAACTAAAAGTAATTAAACTTTTCACTAAAAAGTAATATTTCACATATATAAAAAAAATTTAAAACGGTTCTGCCTTCTCACATTTGCGAAGACTGCCCTGATATCTAATCTATTTTCTTCTTCAAAGTAATTAAGTTGTTCAACCGTTGTCTATAAAGGTATCTCGCTCATACACACACATTTGAAAAGCAGCAGAACAAAAATTCAACTAACCAGGTATACCAAGTCCGTGTAAAGAAAACTTTTCATATCCCGAAAACGTCAAGTGTCAACTAAAATTTCTACTTTTAAAGATCAAAAGTGCCGCCTCAGAGTGCCAATACTGATTGGTATATATACTGGGGTACGAATTTGATTGGAGCAGTCAATTATCCGTTGTCGTAGTTGCTCTTCAGTATTAATCGGCACTGAGTAAACCAAAGCTTTTAAGTGACCCCATAAGTAGAAATCAAGTGGATTAATATCTGGTGATCTGGCTGGCCAAGCTTGTGGACCACCACGTCCTATCCAACGCGTCTCGAAAACTTGATTTAAATGATTTCTCACGGCTAGTGGAAAATGAGGTGGTGCACCATCGTGCATAAAATACATAATCTGCCTCTGTGCTATTGGAACTTCCTCCAAAAGTATTGGTAAATTTGTCCATTAAGCCTAAAAGAATAATAATAATTAGGAATTGGTGACGTTTGAACAGTTTTAAAATTTACCTATTGGGTAGAAAGAATGGTCCAATAAGTCTATCTCCAAGAATTCCCGCCCAAACGTTTAATGAAAATCGAACTTGGTGTCGGCTTTCTATGACAGCATGAGTATTTTGATCGGACCAGTAATGGGTGTTGTGGTAATTAACAATCCCATTTTTGGTAAACCCTGCTTCATCAGTGCATAAAATGTTTGACAGAAAAAGGGGATCTTCTACCAGTTTTCTTAATAACCAACGACAGAAATTGTTACGAGCGGGATAGTCTGGAGGATTAAGGGCTTGTACCCTTTGGATGTGGTATGGATACAGCAGTTGAGTATGAAGAGTCATCCACACAGTATGGCGACTCACGTTTTCTCGCACTGCAATTCTCCTTACAGATAACCCTGGATCTTCCTCTACACTTCTTAAAATTCGCTCTTCAATTGCTGGTGTACGCACTGTAACATTACGGCCGCGATCATGGTGCCTGTTACTAAATGAACCTTCGTCTCTCAGGCGCTGCATGGACTCTGGCAAATATCCTATGAGAGGGTGCTCTGCGATTTGGAAATTTTTGAATATACAAACGTTTAGCTAAAAGACCGTTTCCGTTCGCTCTTCCATAAATAAAATGCATATCTCTCAGTTCAAGTAGAGTGTATTCCATAATTTCTGGTATATTACGCTCACGTACACTTCAACAACAAGAAACTGACAGAAATACTTAAAAACTAGAATAATTTTAGGCAAAATTATTTACAATTTCTTTTTGCTAAATTGAAATGTACATAGCTATTGTTCTGTCCTTATTTGATTATTCCATTTACAAAAAGTATTCATTGACAGTTGCGTGCCCACAAATTTCTTCTGGGGTTTGGGTTGCCACTTACCTTCCGATTGTAAAGTTGAGAGAAAAAAATTGACCCACAGACAAAAAATAATTTTTCATAATAAAATTTCTTCGACATTACTTGAAAATATTTTTTTTCTTTAGTGTTTATGAGTTTTTTGGGAGGTTGATTAGTTTAACACGTCACAATTTTCATAAATGTATGTTTATTAATCTGTGAGATACCCATCAAAAAATAAGTAATTTTACTTTTCGGTTTTCAACTACAGGTTTACCAAACTCTTTGCCTTCAATTTTCTCGAAAACGGTTGCTTTAAGCGACTTGCAATAAGAGTACCTAACTTTTTTATGGAAAAAAGGTATTTGTTTTTAAAAAATAGACCCACGTTATAAAAAAATCAACCCCTAAAAAGTTAATCATAAATCGACCCCTTACCCTTGTAAGAACTACCCTTTCTGATTAAATAAGCAATTTTTCGATATTACCATTGGATTCACCAGTAAATTTTATGTCAACAGGGATTTTTTTCGAAGTTTTATCGTGTTTTTTAAGCTTACAATTTCAAAAAAACCACTTTCCAAGTTTGACCTTTTGACGCCCCTAAATCCCTTAATATGTATTTAACTACCCATAGTTATAGGAACTTTTTTTACTAGTTTTTGGAGTACTATCACCTCCCCAATTTTTTACACTATTTCAATGACACCCTGTATACATCAGTTTTATAAATCTAAATATTTCGTTTTCAGCTAAAGTAAAAAATCGGTCATTTAATTGTAGGTGAAATTTTCTCCGTATTTTAAAAAATGAAATTTATCTTTTTTTTGAAAACATGGATCTAGCAATCGGTATGTAGGTATATAGAATTAATAAATACAAATAAAAAACTCGTTTTTAAAAAATTTAAAAAATAATTATATAATTACTTATTGCTTTGTAATTACTATTTAAATAATATAACTATATTATTTTTTTGTACTAAAATATTGATCTTCCCTCGTTTCCGTATGCAGATAAAAATTATTCTAAGCTAAGAACTCCGTGAGTAGCAAATAACAATAACATATTTGTCGAGTAGATTATTTTACCAAATATTTGACTACAGGCACTACTGGTTAGGCAGTCCCGCAGTACATAATTCGACCGCAAATCTTTTGGAGACTCTGTCCTTAATATAACTTAAAAAAAAAGAAAACTCTAAATACAATATTTTTAATAACATAATAAAACTACCTCTACCTATATAAATAAGGCTTTTTTTGTTAGTAAGTATAATTTTATGATTTTTGTTAACAATATATTTTATGTTACGATAATTATTTGCATTTAAAAACTATGAAGAATATAAACAGTTAGGTTGTCGCTAATCATAATATAAATAAGTATTAATTTACGCTCTTTCGATAACTTTTATTTTAAAACCTTCTTCTCTCTTCAAAATTATATCACCTTGTAGTTTGAAATCGGCTTCCTTATCCAATGATATAATTTCAAATTTGCGAATTATTCCAGCCAGTAAAACTTTTAGTTTTAACATTGCATATTTTCTTCCTAAAATAAAAACGAAAAAATCATTCAGGGTGTTTCATAATATATGCGCAGGACTTCAGGACGTGAGAGCTCGTCCAAAAATACTTAACCTCTAAAATGCACCATTTTCGAGATACAGGGTGTTGAAATTAAAAAAAATAAAATTCTACGCCACTGGAAAAAGTACGGTTTTGAGACGCCCATTTGAACCGCCAATGTTTTCTACACAAAAAAGGTATTCTTGGTCATACGCTCTAAAGTCGACCGTTTTCGAGAAAAATCAAATTTTAATGTTGAAATACATGGTCATACATACTTGATGAAGAAGAAGTTAATAGAAACGCTGTAATAGCCAGCCTAAAACGGCATCTAGCGGACTGTAGTTCATTTGTTAAGCCGCTATTACATTTGTTTTCGATGGCTGCACTGGGAGAGCATCCTGAAATATTTGGTGATTGGGAAAAATAATGCACTGGAGATAATTGAACATACTATATTATCAAAAGGGTCAGTAAGAATTTTAGTGACAAGTGGCAACACTGCCAAAAACATGCCGGTATTGAAATCAAGCGATTTACCCACAAAGCACGTATCTTCTAGAGACCCCACGCCAATGTTAAACTTTTAAACCAAATTGGCGCCACCTTGTGTTTGGAGCTGGAACTAAAATGACAATTGACAGATGGCGGTAAATTCAAAATGTAATTTTTAGAATTAGGTAGTTTTAAATTAAATTTTAAATGATTTCCACATAAATTATTTTATAAAATAAAGAATGGAACTAGTAAGTTCGAAACTTTTATTTTACAAAATAATTTAGGTCGATTATACCAAATTTGAGGAATTAATTTGTTATAAGCAGGGGTCTGATGTGAAGAGTTGGTTCTGCATATTATTATTAAATAAATATAAGATATATCAATAAACAATAAAATAGAACATTCTTAAAATATGTTTATTAATAACTTAAATAATATTATTAGATAAAAATAAATACAAATAATAATACATATTTAACGAATACTTACTTGCAGCAAATAGGTATATAATCTCAAATCTTTAAAATACCTATCAATAATTTAAATGTGAAGTAGAGACTAGGATATTACATTTTATTAACACTAAAATAATATATTTTATAAATGTCTTTTAAACCGAGGACAAATGTAATATAGGTATTGTATTAAAAGGTGAATCCTTTTAACTATTCATTCAATGATAAATAGGTATTTTCCTTCCAAATACAGATGGTGGTATTACTCCACTGCTTTGTGTTTTACTCTCTTATGTGAAAAATGATTTCGGAATCTAGTCCAGTGATAAATTGATTATCAATTAGTTGTTATACCCGTTTCTTTTTATGGTGCAGATGCATGGTGAATCAATGAAGTTTTTCTCGAAGTTTTCAACGTAGCACCCACAGGTAGCACCAAAATTATTGCAAAACACAGTAGGTTATAACTAAGACGAAACTATAAACAGAAACCAAAAGCCAAAGCCAACAAAAAATCACTAAAATCAGACGGAAAAATGAGATTAACCAAAAACATAAATAAATACACGTCACATCTTTGGAGTCTTTGGGTTTTTCTCCCATAAAGCTTAAAAATGGAGTAAGAAATCAGAATTTTACCAGTAGCCCCATCTAGAGTTTGGAGCAAATAGCATAAAAAATGTCAATTGTCGGTTTTGACCTTGGTTATTCACGTGGAACCTCTATGTGCTTTGTGGATTTACCTGTTATATTTCACAATTCAATAAAGAGAAAAAAAGGGGGAACAGAAAAGGTCCTGTTGCAGACCCTGCACCTGTGGGTAGGCTTCCCATTACAGTTAGAGTATTAGAAACACACTGTCGTCTTTACTTGTTGAGTGTTAGAGACGCACTGGCACTATTTTCGCGCCGACTCGCGTTAAAGCCTTTCGTTTGGCCAATAAGGGAGCTTGATTATGGAGGGATTATCTAATTATTATTATTTATGTAAGTTGTTTATTATTTTAACTATTAGAATTATTTATTAGGGCTTGTGCATTGTTATTGTTTATTTTTAGGCGTTGGTTTTTTATTATTTATGAAATAAAAGTTTATGACGTTGTCAGCCTTCGGCTGTTTCCGTTGTATAGGTATATTTCTTGTGTCTGTCAAACGTTCTGTTTGACATGGCGGTTTGAATTCAAATTCAAACAAACGCTTTTTCATATTTTTAGACAAGCTATCACGTCCTGAAGTCCTGCGCATATATTATGAAACACCCTGTATATAAACAGTAAGATAGTTAAAGTTTCTATTAATTTCTTCTGACCAAAAAAATAATCAAAAAGCATTGCATCCTTAGAAAAACCTAAAATACATATTTTAAAATAAGATTAATGTTGGTAGTCAAATTATATGGAGCCTACAATCTACACTGACCGGCACAAAAAGAGAATCACAGATAATTTTTAAAATATTTCATCTATCTTTTATTTTTTGTTGTTGATAAGCATATTTTTTATTGTCAAGTTGTTAATAAGTATATTTGGCGTATTTTTAGTAACTTGTTTATCATTTTATCACTTTTTTAGGGCCTAAAATTATTTTTCGGGTTATTTTTACTTCAGTTTGAAATTATTTTTCGACTTGCGACCTTCGGTATTAATTTATTTCGTCCTAAATTTAATTAATTAACGTACATTTATTCAAATAATGGCACTCTCACCAACAGATGCTGCCCGCGCCATTGCTCTTATTGAGGATGGTCGTAGTCCAGCGTTATGTAGCTAATCTTCTTGGAGTATCACAGGCGAACATCCATAGAACATATAGCCGTTTTCTTGAAACTGGAAATTACACTAGAAGACTTGGTTCGGGCATGACAAGATCCACATTGCCTGTAGACGATCTTTTTTTACATCTTTTTATTCTTCGACATCGGGATGCCACTACTGTTCAAGCAAGAAATCGACTTGAAGTGAATGTAAGTGAGAGAACAGTAAGAAGACGCCTGAATGCAGTTGGCTTAATTGCTTGAAGACCTACCAATGCCCCAGAACTTCTCCCACATCATCGAGTAGCTCGTCTTCAATTTTCTCGAGAGCACCTTCATTAGAACATAAATCAATGGTCTTTTCTAACGAGTCTAGATTTTGCCTAAGATCACCTGATGGTCGCCAAAGGGTATGGAGAAGAGCTGGGAAGGTACGCACGGAGCTTGTCGTGGTGGAAGGAGGATCATTGAATGCAGATCGGTATATAAGAGAAGTTTTACAAGATCACGTCATTCCATTTGCACCTCTAATTGGCAACCATTTTATTCTTTTGCATGATAATGCTCGAACACATGTTGCCAGGGCAGTACGTCAGTATCTTATTGACGCCGGTATTGAGAACATGGAATGGCCACCCCGAAGCCCCGACTTAAATCCCATTAAACATGTCTGGGACATGATGGGTAGACAACTTAGATCGCGTGTACCAGCTCCAGACACCTTGGAAGAACTTAGAAATATGCTAATTGGTATATGGGAACAGTTGGACCAAAATGGCCTAAGACACTTGATAAAAGGGATGCATATACGTATGGAAACTTGTATTCAAGCCAGAGGGGGCAATACCAGTTATTAATTTAATTTTTTTGACATGTATAACTGATTTTATATGGTTATCTGAATATTTGTTTTAATTAAATATTGCCACTTTATTTTAAAGAAAATATATTAGTGATTCTCTTTTTGTGCCGGTCAGTGTATTTAGTAATTATTACTTTGTTTTTTTTTCTTGTAGTCCTTGGGTTTTTAGGTGTTAGTGGAAAATGTAATGTGTGATTAAAGCTTTCGGCACTGGTCAGTGCCTTCTTCAGTAGTTTTTTATTGGTAAAATATTTTTTTATCATTAAAACCTTGTTTTTTAAAAAAAATAATGAGTTTAACATCCAAAAGTTCTTTAGTCAAAAGTTTTGGGTGTGTTATTGAAAATTGTTAAAATCCTTTTTTTTTATTATGTTCTATTTCCTTTAATCCTTGTCATGTCCATTTATGTGGTGTTCTTTATGTCCGTTTTAGTGTATGTGTATGTGTTTTATGTCTTTTTTTATACTCAAAAAATATGTTAAGTACTTTGTTGAAACCACATCATTGAAATTTTAAAGATGCCAATAATCGCAAAGTACAAATGTTGTAAATTGTATCAATTTTTTTTATCTAAAGTAGGCCATGGAAGAGATCACTAATGTCGGAGCTTACAATTCTTCGTTTTTCAGTGATAGTGACTTTTATAACTGTGGTTCTCGGTTATGGCCTAGTTTAGATATTTTTTTTCGAGTTACACATTATTATGCATTACTTACCAACACAGCTACGTGAACCTGCACTAAAAGGTACATAAGCGTAGTACGGTCTCTCTTGACAATTTTCTGGAAGGAAATTATCTGGATTGAATGTTTCTGGATTTTTCCAGTATCTTTCGTTACGATGAATAAGCAGTTGTGCTATAATTACGGTTGTGCCTTTAGGAATAGTGTAATCTCCAGAAACTAAATAAATAACAAAAAATATGTGTTACATTTTTTAAGTAAAACTGAACAGGAAGAAGAAACTATTAATAATGATAAAAGGGAAAGGAATGATTATTAAAATTTTTCATGTGATTGGTAAATTATTAAAAATCTATAACGGTATAAGTATTGTTGGAAGATATTAAAATTAAAGGTTATAATATAAAAGGAAATTTTAAATAATTAAATTGGATCAAAAAAAATTATTTAAAAAATGTATAATTGCGTAATTTTGGAGTAATGGTCAACCCAGTATATTTGATATTAACTTGATTCATTTATTAAAATTTTATTCAAAATTGTTTTGCAAACCTATCAGGAATCTAAATATTAGTATGTTACGTTACTTTTTGTACACTCTGTACATTTAGATTTATACCTTAACGTTTCAAATTCCTCAATTAATAAAAAAGTTTAGATAATATGGCCATAGTATTTAAAGTTATTACCTACTACTTGCCTATTTATTTACTCCTATAATTTTTAAATGGCTTTAACTGTCTCTCTGGATCCAAATGTTCTTTTGAATTTAAAAATGTTTGAACGTCGTAATTTAAAAAAAAGACTGTATCGATGTACGTTTTAAATGCGATGACTTTTAAAGTATCCGCTGAGTGACGTTACAGTTAACCCGATACAAATTGAACTAATTCAGCTATCCTTTTGTTAATAGTAATCTTTAAATTTGGCTAGCTGGCGTTATTTGTCAACCAAATAAATTCACTTGTTTTAAACTTTTGGATAATACAAAGTAATAATAAAATTATGTTTAAAAGTTTTTGAAAAGTACTTTATTTACTTTATTGATGATGTAGTATTAATATTTAATTATTTTGTACTACAACAATTCAATCAAAATGGTTAAATAAATCGTCAGATGTGACTGGAAATAAATTATAGAAGTGCTCTTTAAAGTGTATGGAAATGTTATGTCAAAAATATGGTAATTTTTTTTATATTTCGTTTTCGTTGATTTTAATTAGATACTTGGCAACCCCGCACTAATTATTTGTATTGTCAGAGCATGACAGATATAATTCCCGGTGAATGACATTTTGTGATATAATTATAAATTCTAATCACGAAGTATAGATATATACTTCACAAATACATTTCAACCAAGCGAAGGTAAAGAAATAGCAAGAAAGAATTATGACAAAGAAGAATTAGAAATAAGACCTGCCACAACAAAAGTAGGTAGCTAACAGGGCTGGTATATCTAAGGGGGTCGCGACATAGGAGTCCATTTTGGACGCCATTTTTTTCGAAATAGTAGTCGCCATTGATCTGGCAACGTGGCAACTTGTAGTCGCCAGGTTTACCAATATAAAAAAAAATCAATGACATTTCCATTTTAAAATGCCCATATTTTTTAGGAAAAAATATTTCAATTTAATAAATTATTAATCTCAGATGTACATAAAATACGTGGGGAAAAGTAGATCACTTTCAATTTTGTGCTGTTTTAGTTTATTTTATTTTAAAAGGTAATTGAAGAGATGACAATTTTCTTATAGATGATGCATAACAAATTATTGCTCCCTTTTTTAGAGCTCCAGTCCCTTAAGTCTATTTATTTTAGGTCTTTAAATTGTTGGTAGGTATTATTCACTTCATTTGTATGTTTTTAGTTAATTTAAATAATTTTGTGTAATATCTTGCGATTTGTTTTCTATACATTTTAGCATGTATTTGTTGTCTACATCTTACAAAGGATGGATTTGAAATACCTTTACAACAGAGGTATTTTCCTAAATCTGGCCGAAATTTGAAACTGAATACAGTTCTTAGAGAAAATCTCCAGTAAAAAATGTCTGCATGCAGAATAACAGTAGCATAGATTAACAAAGCTGACAAAAGAGTTGGACAAACCTTTGTCTAGCTTTTTTAATATTTCAGGACAATAGTGTTAACAGCAGACTACAACAAAAACATCCAAAGTTTAGTAATCAAGCAAAATATTCTGGTATCTATATTTTTATTCAAAACTTTTGTGCTTCTACTCCAATACTAAATAGAAGCATATGCATTTTATAGTATTTGCAAGATTCGGATCAAATGTACCCACAATTTATAAAGATTATTAAACTAAAATAAAACATTTCAAATAACACCTGCTTTTATGTTAAATGTTTTTATTAAATACATAAATTAGTCTCAACCAGACATTTTTTTTTGTTTTTACTTCTAGTGTAAAAGTGACTACTAATTCAGTCTTTCAAGTTTATTATTTATAGAGACCAGCTACTACAAAATATCTTATTGATGATAACTAATTTCTCTTTAATAATGGTTTTGCATTTATTAACATTTTACAGCACTTTGTTTATATGAAACCTCTATTTAACTCTTAATTAAATCATATTTAAATCAAGTAATTACATTTTCATATTCAACTTATGTATTCTTATTAGAACTTGGTCACTTTATTTTTACTTTGAATCTTTTGACTGTGGTAACAGTCCATTCACCAAACCACAAAGTCACTTAAAAATGTTGAAAGAGAATGTCATAAAGGTAAAATTCCTTCTTCTGTCATGTTTTTCATGCAATTTTAGGTTGTAAACGTTTTGTCCAACACCTTTTTTACAATTTATCCCAAGCAACACTATGAAAGATTTAAATCCTGGATTTACAGCATTCAGTTTTGAGATGAGTGCAATCACAATGTAGTTTAAGAGATAATTTTCACATGAACACTTATTTACCACAGCACAAACGCATGTACCTATTCATGTAACATTAAAATAAAGTGGAAACAAATTGCATAATTTGGTATATAAAAAAGTAAAAAATGTTTTTAGTTTTAATTCGACATTGGACTACGAGGAAAACAGTGGTTCATTCCACTTGTACCATATTGACATTATTATGCACGATGCTCGTTCAAACGAACGTCAGAAAAGTGTTGCCAACTTAAGCTGACTACTATTTCCCCCCTAGCCTCAGTCACCCCCTCATCCATTTACTGGGTCTATGTCGCGACCCCCTTAGATATACCAGCCCTGGTAGCTAAGAGCCGATTCCACCGTTGTGTTAAACGGAGATTAAAATGACATTGTTAATGTAAAAATGTCATTTTAAATCTCGTTTAACACAACAGTGGAATCGGACCTAAGAAGATTAAATTATTATAAACTGTTTACTATTTTTTGTTTTATATGATATATTTTTTCCGGAAGTGTGTAAAGAGTAACATACAATCAAGTACAAAAATATCAATTCGAATTACCAATTTATTCGTTTATTCAAACTTCACAATTGGTTTTAATAATTTTCAAAAGTATTTATTCAGTATTTGTTTATAATAATATGGGGGCGATCAATTTAATTTATATTTTGTTGAGGATATTATTTATAAGTTAATTTTCTTTACTATAAATCTGTTTGTACAAGGTGACCCAACGAAAACTTGACATTGGGCTTTTGGGTATTAATATCGTGGATGTTAAAAAACACCCGGACAGATTGATTTTAGTTTAAACGAGAGCTTTGTTCCAACATAAACCAAATCAGTTTGCGTACTGTCGGGATTCTGCGCAGTCTAGAATTTGTGTTCCAACAAACCTTAGACTCGAAACTGTACAAATACATAGTGTTCCAACACAACCAAAACTAATCACAAACCGGTTTGTGTACTGCCAAATCAGTTCCTGGGTCTGAATAGGAACGAATTGTCAAGACATGCGCAAAGCCGCAATAAACTGAACATATCGTGATTGTAATTATATTATTTGTAACTATTGTCTCTGACAGTTCTGATTTGTATTTGTTAATCGAGTTTACTCTTTATAGTTTTTGTTCATGATCATTTATTTAATTTTGTGGTTTATTATTGTAATAATGCGTCTGTTGAATTTAAAAAATGTGTTCCAACATAATCGACTTCCGAGTTGAGTCCTAATCCCCGACCAGTACCTGACAAGTTGTCAATTACTAGTCATCGACAGATTGTCAACAATAAGTTTTGGACCGGTTTATGTATTGTTCCAAGATCGTTGTTGGAACAAACCTTAGGACTTCTTTTAATCATATTAACTGTCATACGTAATCCCCCTTCACTTCGGTACTCTAACGAATGCAATTTAAATAGGAAAAGTGCCAAGTATGACACGTCATTGAAAAAAAAAGCAGGATAGCAGGATACAAAACTGTCACCTATTGTAAAATGTGCACTTCATTTGAAAACTAATTTCATTTGAAATTTAATGCATGGCATACATTTTTTATTTTGGTTTGTGTTTCTTAACGTTTGAACTTTGCAATTATTTATGTTCTTGTTATATTCAATTATGTTTTTTATACGGCCCGACCCCGTAGTAACGCTGGCCAGGCCGCATAAACAGGCAGCTCTGATATTATTTATTTCCTGCTGGCTCTAATGCTAAATCTCTCTGTAGATTTCACATGGATTTGTGCAAAGCGTATTCGAAAACTTTCGATAGTCGATACTGTGTATCTTAGTATATAGAAATATATTCTGTAAACTGGATAATTACGTTAAAGACCATTACGCCTAACGCTGTCACTATGTTAATTTGATAAAATTAGTAGCATCCATCTACATCACAGTTAATGATTCGTTACACAAAAAAATATTTAACAAAAGCAAGAACATGATCGATGTATAATAAATTAATATTATTAGTTCACTTGATAATTGGCAAAGTCTATTGGAAAGCGTTCAATAACCGATACTTAGTGCTGGGTAAAGTACTGCATTCAAGGACTCATAAGTACTTCACAATGAGTACCTCCACAAAGTACTCATACGTATCAGAGTATAAGTACTTATATGAATAATACTCAAAGCAAATGAGTACTTTTACAAAGAGAGTATTTGTGAAAAAATTAAGTAACGAGAATAAATATTTTAAATAATTCTAGATAGTGAATCACGGTTAGAAAGAAGGAATTATAGTAATTAGTAATAGTAAGTCAGTAAGCAACAATCAAAACTGAGAATATAACTTATATACTATCACTTTTGCATGTTATTGATAAAGTAAAGTAATAAAGGTATTAGGTATAACGGTATAATGGCTAAAGAATCTTATAAAATAAGTTATATCAATTAAGATTAAAAATAATTTATGCTAAACAATTCCGAATTAATTAAAAAATGAACAGAAATTCCTTTCTCATTTTAATTTAATAATAACCATCGAAATATTCTTCTTACCCAACTTAACATCTTCATTAACTTTTCTAGCAATTACTGGCACTGGTGGATACAGTCTTAAAGTTTCCAGAATAACCCTTTCCAAATATTTCATTTGGGTTGTATCATTAAATGTAACAGATCTGTCCATATTGTCTTGAAAAATTTGTTTTAATTCTTCATACACTTTTTTCTGAATATCTTTGTGGATCCCAAGTAGACAGAGGACGAAGCTGGAAGCCGCAGCTGTAGTGTCGTGACCCTAAAATAATTTTAAATTGACTATATAGAATATAATGTTATAGCGTTTACTTTGATAATTAATAAATAAAATAAATAGAATTAACATTGA